AGCCTTCAAGTTGGCTGGGCTATATGCAATACGAGCCTCTCTACTTAGGAACTGGCACAACTCAGCAAATGGCGGATAACGTTCGTATGAATCACCACATGTCATGTAAGACTCATCATTCAGCAAACTATCTACCTTTCTAATCCCATGGTCAAAAATACTCTTTGGGATTTTACTTAGAACTTTCTTCTGTTCACCAGGATCATTAAATACCCTCAGATATCCAATGGTCATCATGGCTGTTTTCTCAATTCCTTACCATCGCCGTATTTTATCTGTGGCCAGTCGTTGATTCGTTTCTTGTATGTGTCAGTGACGATCAATATATCTCCATAATGCTCAGCTAGTAATTCCTTGCTTTGATATAAGCTTGCTCGCCATCTAACGTCAGTATACCTTTAATAACGTATTTGCCTTCACCAGTGGTATATTTGCCTAGGTAATATACTAGTAATCTGTCAGCGTATAATGGCTTCTTCTGTTCAACAAGTGTTTGAAATGAAGTAATCCAAGCAGAATAGTCGTACACATTACCGCCAATTGGCTTAGTGCACCTGCAGAAGCAGTTCGACGTGGAGAGGTATGTGATTGCTCTCTTCGAACGGTTGATGCAAGATGTGTTCATAGTGTGGCAACGTCACTGAAGGTAGTCTATTGTCTGTAACACGTATATCCTGTGGGAAATTTCCCTCAGGCCTTGTTATATTGACAACATCTTGAATTAAAGCAAACTGTGACACGTCTGTATATTTACTGCCTATACGGAATGGTTGCAGCTGCCTAATACCCGGTAATTGTGTGGGGTTAAGCAATGATATTCCAGTAGTATCAGGTGGGGAACGTATATGTCTCCCTTCTGTTGGTCTTTTGTCACCGTCAGCAGTATTAGCATGATGAGATTCATCAGCATGGTAGGAAGGTTCCTTTAATAGACGATGGTATGTCATTTTTGTCCTACTCTGACTTTCGTCTTGCTCATACTGATCTAGGATCTTTGACGTATTTTCACTAACGGCAATAACTTCTTTGAGATCGAATTCTTTTTTCATATTTCTAATATTGAACTCAAGATCAACAAGGATTGTTCTCTAGTAATTTCTAGACATCGTTTTTTCCTTATCAATTTGTCGTCTTCGCTCCTGGTGGGCCTGTACGAGCAGCATACTCAGCTCTTTTCTGAACTTCTTGGAGTCGTAGCATACTAACATTTGTATGGGTGGAGCATGAACTAGCCTTAGAGCTCCTGGATTTTCTGGAAACTCTGCTTGTTTGAGAAACACTGTCGTATTGGTCAACGTCAGCATAACGATCTTTCTTATCTTGTTCCTTGGAAAAGAAAGACTGCACGGCAGACTTAAATGATTCAATGTATTCTCGTATTTATAAAAATACTGGTTCATGTTTTCAAAATTCATCTTCATGTAGGAGGAGGGCACGGTGCTCATGTTCGCACTGCAGAAATAGAACATAGAAATAAACATTCCTTATAACCTTCATGTTTGCCCTTGGAATCAGTGTTATTTGTTATTATATCATGTGTCCTGTGTAATTCCGCGGAGTTGTCTATATGTATGCTCATACCTTTTCTTATTTTGTTCATATTCATTCTCCAGAGCTTTATCTGTTAACTTGATAGGTCTTCCGTAGCTACCAGTATACCCATGGTCTCATGATTTCATGGTCTTTATTTCTTCACACACGTATCACTGTTATATTCAAGAATGACTTTCTGGCAACTAGGAAGATTTTAATTCTGCATTTGTTTTCTCCAGTTAGAGTTGTACTCGCCGGCAGAGTTTTACTGTGGTGAAGGATTGCAGTCCACAAGTGTAAGTGTAAATAAATCAATCCAATATTTAACATCAATGTTGTTTATTCACTGGCTCACTGGTTCACATAGGTCACTCCAGTGCGATTCATTGAATATAATTCATGGAGAGAATTACGAATTCGCGTAAAACTAGAAAAACAATGAAATACAAAATACTATAATTGACAATGTAAACAAGTATAGGGTTACTGGAGCAAAAGCATATCCAGTAAACCAGTCCACTATTAATACATGTACATAGACACATATACTGCCCAATCAACACTTCACTGGCATATCAATATACAAGGACGTAATTACGTCACAACGACGTTTCACACCCGCTGTTTCATAGCCGATAAACAAGTACACTTCAAGTTCAGTGCAAATATTTAGTACATGTGGTTTAGCAATGACGTCATGTTATGCGCACTCGGTAATGTGTTTGTTACTTTCTCGATATAGAACTCTAAATTATACTCAAAATCACACGAAAAGTATGTCAAAATGAAGTAAAGGAACTTATAATCCCAAAACGTATTTCTATTCTGGTGATCTGTGTTAAATACAACCAAAACTTTGTTGTTTTATCTTCCTCCGTCAAATCTGACTAACTTTTGATTCAAGATGGCGGGTTCCGGTCTGTTTGTTTGTTAACTATAGGGGGCCCTATACAAGATTGCTAAACTACATAGAATAGCGTTATTGGTATTAAAACAACGCCGACAATCGTTACATAATTTTTGCCAATGTAGTGTGAATTATACTCAAAATCACACTTAGTAAAATGACTTTTTTTTGAAGACCGGCAACCCATAGCAACCAGTTCACATGTCGAATAAACATTTATGTTGTTGACAGTTTTTTTGGTGGGCGTGTCCTTATATTTAAAACAATGGTGTTTCAATAACATATTGGCCCAAACCGGTCATTTCTGCTTTATTTACAGCTTGGTTTTTTGAACATTACGGAAAATACATTCTAGGGTAATTCTAACACCCATAACCAAGTCAATCATTTAGCCTGCCATAACCTCATTAAAATAATTGATTCCGCGTTCTATTTTACGACCAGTCTATGTGTGTGGGCAATTTTCCACTCCGGGTTGTTGACATTTGAAAACCGGGTAACTAAGCTTAAGGATTTCAGACTTTGGTGTTAAACGCCGGGTTTGACTATGGTAGTACGTGGTTTTGCAATCAGGGATTAGGGTCACGCAAAAGCTTTAAATACCATGACGCCACAATCTATTGGGTCAATCATTATCTGGCCCACGACATCAGTTCATTCATCAGCTGAAAACTGATTAGTCAGACAGGAGTGACACGACCCACTTTCAGATATCTGTTTGTGTAGTGTCAATTGCGCCATACTTTATGAAATCTACCTCTGATTGCGGACTGTTTATACTATGATAATAACAAACCCTGTTTGGACAATAAATAAACCGCCTCATATGCTTGTAAACCTTGGGATCAGTGCTATGGATATGCTGTGATGACACCAGTGATATTAATGGTGTATATAATTATTAGTTAAGCAGTAATCATGGGGAATAGATCGGAGGTGTTATTTTAATGAGCTAATAAGTGACGGGAAGTTGTCCCTTTGTATTATATTGCAGTGTTTGTAAGTACATGAGATTCAAATTTGCGTGCAATTACAGTCTCACTGAACATGCTTATCAGTAGTTGGTAATTTGTTATCGAGTGAATGCGTTCGAGAAGGAATGCAAATGCTACATTTAATGTAAAATAACAAGAGTAAATGTTGTACTTTGAGGAATATGTATGCCATGTTATTGAGGATCTAAATGTAGGTGAACTGAGGGAGTATTAGCAGATATGACAATTGTACAAGTACTAACATTTCACATTGCCACATTTATCCCACATAGCTAATTTCAACGTTATTCCTTTCTCTAACATTAGGCTGATTAAAGAATAATTAGATGTCTTTACATTATAGATGGTACGAGAAGAGTGCCACAATGTATGTACATACAGTATTGACCTAGTTGGGATTCTACGGCTGCAAATCATGAAAATCATGTAAGCAATAAGTTTTCATTCGATGTTTATACAATAAATACCAGATACTTGTTAGTTAGTTAGTTAGTTTTTACATGATTTAACTGCCCTAGTTAAACTATTTGTACTTCAGTTTCAAAGAGGTGGTGATGTAAAAATAATAATAAAAAGGGTTCATTAATCATTAGCAATAAATTTGTTTACATGACAAATATGTCTAACTTTTAAGCGAATTCAGACAGATTTCACTTCAGTTGAAAATGTATGAAATGGTTTGCCAAGAAAATCATAGTTAATGTCAGTGCCATGCTTTCTTAAAAATAATTTACCTAATCCACTTAAAATTGATGGCAAAATATTTAAATAATAATCTATCTAATAATACCATCTAATTTCAGAATAAAATTAATTAACTACGTTGTGGTGGATATGCTTTGAAAACATTTTATTTTACATTTTATAACGAAAAATAACAATATCTCAAGAATTTTGTCTTCGATACATTATTTATTCAAAAGGTATAATATTCTACAGTTCAATAACTCTTATTAATAGATATGTTCCGGTAACATTTTTACCGTTTCAAAAAGCGAAACTGTCTTATGTACATGTTACTATATATCATTTCTTCCAAATTATGATGTCATCTTCATCATTATTAATCATAATTTCATCTCCTTTAACATAACAACATTCATCCCTCAAATATCTCAAGCTCGCCTCAACTTCATCTCGTGGTCGTGAATTCCTAAAGTTTACAATTGCGTTAATAAAATCTAGCATTCTATTATAATCTTTCAAATCTTTGTCAAAACACTTAGTAAAAGTGACTTCAATAGGGCCGTGTATTATCTCAATACGAGCATCAGGGAACTGGAGATTTATCAGATTTTTAGCATCGATTGCTGATTTGTATTTTCTGGACAATTGGAAGTTATTCCTGTATTTAAAATACTTCAACCATCCTGCACCTGTGTAATGATACAATAATGTGGCTATTATATTAAAAACTATATATTGCTATATACTGCTCATTCTATCGAATTAACACAACAACAATATCTTTATGTTATAAGCTTGATGCAGACAACTGTGCATGTATGGAAAAATATTTACATGATATTTGAGGAATAGTAACTGTAGACATGCAATTGACAAACAGGTACGATATGACAGACAAAAAAAACTGTACTGAATATATGTACACGGATTTAACTATTATGCTCTACAATGTTCGATAAAACAAAGATGGCATCATTTAACAGTGAATAAATTTGATTACAGACCTGTTACAGCTCTGATCAGAAGTATTCCATCCTTATTGAGCATGTTATATAAATTGTGCAGTGTATTTCCATCATCACCAAAGTAATAAAAAGAATGACAGGCATGTATGAAGTCATACTTATCAGCTGTACCACCTTCTTCAAGATACTCGGTAATTCCTTGAACATGAAAATTAATGTTGACTGTATTCCACTTATCTTGGGATTCAATTAACCTCTTAAATTCATCTAATGGACCACATGCTGGTTCTACCACGGTATAATGTATTGCAGTATATTTGTCCACCAAAACATTAATAAAACAAGTAACCTGTAGAATGCTGTGTGGGTAATATTTTTATATTGATTTTTGTTGCATTTGCAGCAAATAGTTACCAAACAATGAGAAATCTATAGGATTGGATATACCTCTCAGCTGGCTTCACATGCATAGTTCAAGACTGCCTAACCGGTGCTTATATCAGGATTTAGTTGCAGCACTGTGGTCTGTGGTTACAGCTTCATTTTCCGAGTAATCACAAGAAATTGACATTACAATAGAAAATAAAAGACTGGCACTCCCATACAATTAATAGCAAGTGAAATTCCTGGAATTGAAACATAGATTTTGAATTCACTGGTGTAGCATTGAATAACTTCAAGTTGGCATAAAGACGAGGTAGTTTATTTAATCAGTGCTGACTAGA